CTCTCTCTCTCTCTCTCTCTCTCTCTCTCTCTCTCTCTCTCTCTCTCTCTCTCTCTCAACAACCCGTCGGTCTTTCGAGTTATTGCTGCATCAAATCAAGCGCTTCGGCCCTCGCATACAACAACACATGATGAATATATCAATGATAACGTTTGCTGATTGGCATTTCAAACGAAAAACCAGCAGGGAAAAAAATTGTGAGAACGGTCTTCCACAAAGTGGCCAAAATTCGTCAGCAGCTAAATCAAACCATCGTGTACGGCAAACTAAAGCGTAGCAATCTAAGAAGCAAGTACTTGTCAACTGTCCTGCAGAAACTCAGCTCAAAGCCATGTGTATCAGCATACGCAGGCTTCTCTCTCTCTCTCTCTCTCTCTCTCTCTCTCTCTCTCTCTCTCTCTCTCTCTCTCTCTCTTCCTCTCTCTCTCTCTCTCGGCAGCTCTGTGGAATCACGTGCTCATGCACAGACCTATCATCAATACTGGCTCCAAAATTTGCAGAGCCCATCAACTCTCTCTCTCTCTCTCTCTCTCTCTCTCTCTCTCTCCTTTGTGTGCATCTGCCTGAGTGTCTGTAGTGTCCCAAAGAGAGCCATGCTCACTCCTCTCAGCTCCCCACCCCCACAGCTGAATATTATGTTGATGAAATCGCTTACAGGGTGCCTTGGACATGGTGACAGGATTGGGTTGGTACGATTGACGTGTTGGATATCCGTCTCGTGAGAGGCAATTGTAATCATAATATAGGTAATCCCCCTTGCGGATATCCTTGCAGCTCCCCACCCCCACAGCTGAATATTCTGTTGCTGAAGTCGCTGACAGGTTGCCTTGGACACGTTGACAGGGTTGGGCTGGTACTAATCTAATCTCTTCAGACAAAATGGTGTGTCGGATATCCGTCTCGTGAGAGGCCATTGTAATCATAATATAGGAAGTCCCCCTTACGGATATCCTTTACAGACACCAGGAGCGCAATGGCCTCCCCATCTACAGCGAACCGTACGCAGCGCACATTTATCTTCTTCCTTGCCGCCCTGTCATAGTTATTTATACCGCTCAGGAACCGCGACACGTTTCCCCTTTTATCTGGGCATATTACTAGCTCCATATCTGGGTCCCTTGGGGTCAACAAACCCATTATGCAATCGCCGGGATCGTTCTCACGGTTGCGCACAAAGTCCACATCCCCTGTGTACTCTGCGATTATTGTCAAGTCTGGGATAGCATCTGCTGCTTCAACAACGAACCCTTGTTTGCTGTCGTGTCTCACCAGCAAAGGCGCACACTCTCCCCGCTTGGTCATCTCTTTGCATAAGGCGTATGCCGCCCGGCTGGTTTTCGGCATCACCTGCATTCCTCCAATTTCGAGTTGCGCCCTGTTGCAGGATCGGGGTGCAAGGCCGGGAACATACGTTAAACGATCGGAGAACTCGACCCCTGATGCAGTCAGTGCTGTTGCGAGGGACGCCATTTGCTCAAGTCGCCGCGCGGGGTCTGTGGACGGCCTGTGCGGCAGCAGGCATCTGCGCCTCCTATAAGAAAAAACATATCGACTGTGGCGCCTCGGTCTCTTCAGACTGGACCGCGAGTGCTCAAACAAAGGCCTCGAGATACGGAAAAAGTCGACGATTTTCGTTTGAACCATAGGAAACTCCTTGACCTCAGGCTTTTTCTCACACTTCGGGCAAAACCAGTTGCCCGGCGGCACGGCCACAAGTATAGGACAAAGGCAATACATGTGATAACCGCGTTCACACTTGTCGCAAATCAGCATCTCGTCCTCTCCATCCCCGCGTCGACACTCCACACAGGTCAGGTGTTCCAATGGGTCAGAGAACGTGGCTTGTTGTTCATCCCAAATGTCCAGTACCATATCCCCCTCTCCATTCCCATTCAGTCCCCCTTTGGGCACCAAGGCCCGGAATTCGTCGCTGTAGACCCCATCTACCTCTTCACAAATGGCTCCACTTTTTCTGCCTGAGCAGTTTCTGTCTGAACAGCCTTCCACTTGCATCATGTTCTCGATCATCATCCCGCCGAAGTTTGCCTTCGACAAGGCCTGCGTCGATGTTGTGCTTTCGCCACCATCCACCCCGTTCTCCTCTTGCAGACACGGCTCCCCTATTCCATCGCACCAGCTCTCCAGCTCGATGGTCTCCACCCTTGGACTAAAACTTCGCATCAAAGAATTCTGCACCGAGGATCCCATTTCCTCACCGGCACATCCTTTCTCATACACCTCCTCCTCCTCACAAGTGTCCCCTGTTGTTTCCCCTGTGCAGCAGTAGAGGTCTGCGGCATCAACTCTTGGATTGCAATTTCCGATAGAGCATGCGAGAACACATTCTCTGCCCTCCTCCTCCTCCTCCTCCCCCTCGGGAGGAGGAGACATAAGACCACTAAGGGATCGAGAAGGAAGGTCCTCGACACCGTTCCTCGGCTTCTTCGCACGACTGCTCTCCGGCCCCTCTTCTTCTTCGAACGGCCGTTTCCGTGACTTTGCCTCCAATGGAGATTCACTCTCCGCACTGTCATGCGCGAAGCACAGATGATTTTTACTGCAATTGTTAGTTGTTTTGGCAACACACTCCGCGCAATGCTGATCTGCTTCGGGAATGACGGCGGCAGGAGGGACCGCACACTCCGTCTCAGGTGCCAAGCAGGCATCCTCACAAGCCTGTGTTCCGGTACCCTCGGCAGCGTCAGAACTGCAGTCTTGCGAAACATTGTCATCGTACGGTGGATTTCCTGGCTCCGACCTTCCATTGTCATTCCCAGTACTCGTCTCTACGTTCCCATCATTGCCACCACAGCATATGGTGGGACTGGACACCAAGCACTCTGCATTGCCCTGTCCACTCTGGGAGCAACTGATGAGGTCAATCACATCAAGACTCCGACAGCAGCTGATGCTCTGATGGCAGTTGACGCTCTGATGGCAGCTGGCACTCTGCTGGAAGCTGGCGTTCTGACGGAAGCTGACGACAGTACCGGTAGCATCAGGATCCACAGGAGCTGGAGAAGAGGGACAGCCTGACCCCACATCCCCCGTACTTTGTGCCTCACCCCCAACACTTACAGAACACAGATCGCCGCCAAAAGACTGTGAACGTCGAGGACAGGGGCGAAGGAGCGGGGCAGGTGGAGAAAAAGTGTCGAGAAGACCATTCTCACCTGCCTGCAGGGCAGTCCTATCATCCTGGAGCAAATCAATCAACCTCCTCGTCTTCCTCCGAAGCTTGTGACGGCGAGACAACGTACGAGCCGATGGAAAGAACGACTGAGGGCGTGATGCCTCGTTGCGAAACGAGCAAGTGAGTTGGCATGCCTCACTTTCTCCCTGTTCCCTCGCACGATCCAGAGCGACTGGCCCTGCAGAAGAAGGAAAAGCCTGCTCATGCTGAATATGCGGTTGCTGACGCGAGGCGAAGTACGCACCAGCCTCCCTCTGCAGTCGCAGTGCTGAGGGTGACGTGGCCTGTACCCGGGCTGATGGCGAGATAGGCGGCCTTGCGCGAATGCGCGTTGGGCTCTCAAGTCTCATGTTTAAGAGGAAGTAACTCTGAAAAACTCGCCACAGTAGAAGAAAAATAGCAGTGGTGCCCCACTGCATAAGAGGAAGGAACGCGCAGCATCAGCCTATGACGCCACACCTGCCTCTCTTTCCCCAGCTGCTATTGCTTTACTGTCTCCTCTTGCCCCTTCAAAACATATCACGTCCCCTGCAAACAACCACAACCTCCCTCTCTCTCTCTTTTCCGCGACACCAAAGAGCCAGAGAGAGAAGGAAAGCATGTCAACCGCATGAAAGCCCTCTTGCCATAGGCACATTCTCCTGCCTCTTTTCCCTCCTCCTAGCCAGTCTCATTCTTCCCTTCTCATGCACTTTCGCCCCTTAGCTTACCCATTGGAATCCCCTGGCAGAAATCATCTGACAGTTTTCACATTTCTTTCCCCCATCTTCTCTTCCCTTCATCCCCCTTCCCCCC